TCTGAAATGCTTAGCTTCTGTTAGAGATTTTTTATTGTAGGTAAATTAACCTGTTTGATGGAGTTTGAAATAGGTTCGGGATTTGTGATTTGTTTAAATAGTTTACTTACCTTGAAAATTTCATGATACTTATATATCATATGATGTCCGATTTGTTTAAAGAAATAAAGCCTCTTCCTTGAATATTGTTTTTGCAATTAAAAATGATTCAACTTTTTTTGTTTCTTTTTATTACTACTTAAGAATGACCATAATCAAAGTGTTTCTTTCTTTTTTAAATTAAGTCTCTGCTCTTTAGAAATATTTATTGTTTTATTCAATTTTCTCCGCTTTGATGCCTCTTGTTCTATTTTTTACCTTGATTGGTAATTAAACATGTTCATTTAGTTTAGTTTCGTTTAGTTTGCTTTAGTTTTCTTTTGTTTTGCCCCCCCCCCCCCCCTGCTATTTCGCAAGTATAATGGTTTAGTTCGTGACTGTCCATCTTATTCTAAATACTATACATATTTAAGGCAAAACAAATGTCCTTGAATTCCACTTAAAATTCAGCGTTTTACATTGTCCTGGTTTTTGGAGAGCAAATTTTAAAACGTCCTAGTTTTTCAACAAATGGGCCGGTTTTTTTTTAATGAAAATGTGAATACGAAAGAAGGCATTCTTTACATTAAAAACTGTGGTTTTTTTTGTCGAGCCTGCGACTTTTGTCGCAGAAAGCTCGACATAGGGATAGCGATCCGGCGGCGGCGGCGGCTACGGCGGCGGCGGCGGCGGCGTTAGCTAACTTCTTAAAAGCTTTATATTTTAGAAGGTGGAAGACCTGGATGCTTCATACTTTGTATATGGATGCCTCATGTTACGAAGTTTCCGTCAGTCACATGTCCAATTTCCTTGACCTCATTTTCATGGTTCAGTGACTACTTGAAAAAAAAGTTCAGATTATTTGTAATGTTAAATTCTCTCTTATTATAAGTAATAGGATAACTATATTTAGTATGTGCGTACCTTGCAAGGTCCTCATGCCTGTCAGACAGTTTTCACTTGACCTCGACCTCATTTCATGGATCAGTGAACAAGGTTAAGTTTTGGTGGTCAAGTCCATATCTCAGATACTATAAGCAATAGGTCTAGTATATTTGGTGTATGGAAGGACTGTAAGGTGTACATGTCCAACTGGCAGGTGTCATCTGACCTTGACCTCATTTTCATGGTTCAGTGGTTATAGTTAAGTTTTTGTGTTTTGGTCTGTTTTTCTTATACTGTATGCAATAGGTCTACTATATTTGGTGTATGGAATGATTGTAAGGTGTACATGTCCAACTGGCAGGTGTCATCTGACCTTGACCTCATTTTCATGGTTCAGTGGTTATAGTTAAGTTTTTGTGTTTTGGTCTGTTTTTCTTATACTGTATGCAATAGGTCTATTATATTTGGTGTATGGAATGATTGTAAGGTGTACATGTCCAACTGGCAGGTGTCATCTGACCTTGACCTCATTTTCATGGTTCAGTGGTTATAGTTAAGTTTTTGTGTTTTGGTCCGTTTTTCTTATACTTTATCCAATAGGTCTACTATATTTGGTGTATGGAATGATTGTAAGGTGTACATGTCCAACTGGCAGGTGTCATCTGACCTTGACCTCATTTTCATGGTTCAGTGGTTATAGTTAAGTTTTTGTGTTTTGGTCCGTTTTTCTTATACTTTATCCAATAGGTCTACTATATTTGGTGTATGGAATGATTGTAAGGTGTACATGTCCAACTGGCAGGTGTCATCTGACTTTGACCTCATTTTCATGGTTCAGTGGTCAAAGTTAAGTTTTTGAGTTTTGGTCTTTTTTCTTATACTATTATGCAATAAGTCAACTATATTTGGTGTATGGAAATATTCTATGATGTACATGTCAGTCTCGCAGGTTTTATTTGACCTTGACCTCATTTTCACAGTTCATTGCTCAGTGTTAAGTTTATGTGTTTCAGTCTGTTTTTCTTAAACTATAAGCAATAGGTCAGCTATATTTGTTGTATGGAAGGATTGTAAGCTGTTCATGTCTGCCTGGCATGGTTCATCTGACTTTGACCTCATTTTCACGATTCATTGGTCAATGTTTAGTTTTCTTGGTTAAGTCTGTTTCTTAGAAACTATAAGCAATAGGTCAACTATATTTAGTGTATTGAATGATTGTAAGGTGTACATGTATTTCTTGTTTGGTTTATATGACATTGACTTCATTTTCTTGGATCATGTTAAGTTTATGTAATAGTTGTAGTAAAGCTTTCATTTAGGACTATCAACATAATATCAATGGTTAGTAAAGAAGGCGAGACATTTCAGCGTGTCCACTCTTGTTTTCTTTCTTCTAGATGTCAACTGTTATCTACAGTGAAGAACAATACATGTATTATATTATCCCATGAAGTCACAACTGATATATTTCAATATTTACCAAATTTAACCTTTTTCGATTAAATGTTTTCTGTATGAAAATATTTTACAATAACCTTGCAGTATAACGATATATAAGAATTCTCTGAGTGTTTTTTTTTTAAAACGGTCTTTACCACCGAGTACATTCATAGTCTGTTTAATTCCATCTCAGCTAACTTTGTATTTACAGTCATTAATAAAATGATCGATACATATTACAGAGTCGAACTCATGAATTTTTAAAATAGGGATAAGAAAACTAAGGAATAGCAGTGAAAAATCAGGAAAAAAAATAATATAAAAACAAATGTTCTACTAAAAGAGAACTCCCCGCAATAACTAAGATTACAGTAACAAAAACCTTAGTCCGCTAATGTACTATTTCCCATTTTCCCAGTGACAATAACATTTGAAGTGAAAGGAATATCCAATAAAAATTTAAACAACACTTGACTGCATACGTCCGAAGCGCTTTAGTGTATTTGCCTACATCCGGAGCATGCACTCAAAGCTGAATATTTGGAAGCCAAGTAAATATAAGAACCGAAATAATTGAAGAGGTGTATGGCCAAAAGGGACATTAAAATAGCAAAATCCATCAAAGGAAAATTCGCCCGAGGGAATTGAAACCTGAGTTTCTTTATAATTTATATATTATTGGCCTAATTTAAATGATTGATTCTTGGTTGCCAGTGGCAAATATTTCATGCATGTTCAGGACGATAACAAATTAACAATAATTAAATACAATAGGTAGGTCCTGTAATAGAGTCCGTTCAGGATGAAGGTCAGCAAATTTAGATCACCACTGGAAAATGAGGGTATATTGGATAGGGACAGAAATTTTGCAATCAACGAACCACCCTAAGAGTTGTTGTAACGGTTCGTAACGGTTCGTAACGTGCAGAGAGCGTGGCACACTCTCTACACGCCCTATTGATTCTGACTGGGTGTGGCTGCGTATATGTATTTTACTCAAAGTTGATTGTCGCACGATAACTTACGAAAATGCAAATAACAAATACGGAACTATCCCTTTTTTTCAAAAATCGAATATCCCGTTTCCCTTTATCCGCTATTTTAAAATAGCAGTAATCACAAAGTCGGCAAGTAATTTCTGCATATTGTTCATTTATTTAGAGAATCAAAGTATGTCAAAATCAGGTCTTACTAATTATTTTTTCGACCTAAAGAAACATATTTCTCATTTTCACCCTGTATATCAAACAAAAGAGGGGGAACAGATAGCAGAGGGACATTCACACGCATATGTCGAAAATAAACAGACAACGCCATGGCTAAAAAAGAAAAAGACCAATTATAGACAAATAATAGTACACAAAACACAACATAGAAAACTGAAGACTGAGCAACACGAACCCCACCAAAAACTAGGGGTGATCTCATGTGCTCCGGAAGGGTAAGCAGATCCTGCTCCACATGTGGCACCCGTCTTATTGCTCATGTTATTACAAACCCGTAATAAGTAATTCGGTAGGTCACAAGTTAGCCTCTTGTTTTATAATTTATATTATATTTAGTTTTAGATAATATTATTTTCGTTTTGATTTGTTTTTGGTAAATTTCATTTTTCGTTTCCTTCTATTCTTATTCTGTTTCGCACTTGTAGCACTGAGGTATCCACTTTTAGTCCTGTCCCCCTTTCCTATATCAAAAATGAAAAAAAATCAAACTTTCAAAAAGCGAAATGATCAAAACTGTACGATCAGTTTAGTATTTTTAAAGTTTGCTTAAATATCTAAACTATTAAATTTTTAAACCGGAAGTTTATAATTTTAAAATTTGAATTATTTGGTGAAATTTTCAAAATTTAGAAATAAATTGTGATTTTGATATTCTAAAACTGTGATCAAAAATCCAAAAAAACTAAAATTTGAAAACTTTTTGGAATTTTGAATTGACAAGTGTTACACGGACCTTTTTGCTATGTTGCCAACTTGGCAGCCTTTGGGAAAAGCTTTATTTACACATGTTACCCCCTTCTTAATTAAGACAAAGGTATAAATTACTTCATAAAAAAAAAATCCTTAATTATCTTTTTTGTTTTCAAACTCACAATACTGCATGTGACCCTAATACCTTTTATCCGTGTAAAAAAAAATAAAAATCCAAATGATAAATAGGAAATATCAAATGTCAAAAATAAACACGAAGAGACAGATTATTCGGTCTATTATGTCTTTTGACCAGGGACATGACTTAATACATAAATGTACTTTGAGAAAGTTATGAAAGGAAATCTATTATATCAAATTAATAATCTGTTATAACAAATTAATAATCTGTTATAACAAATTGTAAAAAGTAAAAATGACAATTAAGGCCCTAAAAGGCTTCCGTAAGGAATCATATGGTGTTCGATGAATTCGATTATAGTTATTTTTTCCTTTATCAGTTTGAGTTTAATACGTTTGATGAAAAGCAACATATGATGGTCGATGAATTCAATTATATAGTTATTATGTTTATCATTTTGAGTTTCGTACGTATTTCCGCAACTGTTATAAACCGGTATTGATTAAAAAGTTATGCATCTTTTTTACAGATCACATGATTTCAAAATGGTAGATAGATTGTTCCGTATGAAAATCAAGTCTATATTTGTTAGGTTTATATCATTACTGATTATTTTCTTTGATGCGGCTCGCTGCGATTATTTTCCAACCCTTTACCCAAGAGAATCAGAAACAAGGGAAATCAAAGAGCTAAATGGACTATGGAACTTCAGAGCAGATATGTCAGTCAACAGAAGTCAAGGCTTTGAAGAAAAATGGTTTATGTCACGACTTGAAAAGGTTAGACTAAACATATTCAGTTGCGGGCCAAACTGATTCATACCATCTTTTTCATGTCTGCACAGAACTAAAAAAAGAGCTATAAACCAGTCTTTCATATTCCAGTTTCAAGATATGGTAGTTAGTTGAATCTGTCATGTTATTTCCATCACCACGTGAAAAAAATGTAGACATCGTCATGTCCAACACATATTGAGCGAATAGGTGAAAAAGTTTGATGCTATACTGCACAAATATTTGAGAAATTAAAATCTAATTAGATTGCCACCCTCCCTTTAGTCGGCCAAGGATTGAGATTACGTACATTTGTACTTACGGAACATAGATTATTTCAAGACTACCCTGCAGAATCCTGAAAATGCTTCAGACTTTAATAGTGCAGGGATACAGCCGCGCCTTCTATATGGTAAAAGATGTCATAAGGGCGTGTGTAATTGACGATCTTTTCCAGTGAAAGACATGATTTGAGAAATAGCCTATTGAAATTTGTCTGTAGTAGTTGATTGAAGCTTGTGTTTATGTATATGATGCAGTTAGTTTCTTGAATATCAACTTTGTATAAAACTTTCAATTGAATTGAATTGACGAAAAATGTTTATACACAGTCAAGGGTGTACATGGTGTAACTTGAATAAGTTATTAGAGAAAAATAACATACATGTGTTATTACGGATACTTTCTCTTAATCTGTAGTAACATATGTTTGTTATCAGTTAAATGTACCATCAAAATTTTTACTTTCAGTGGGCACTTGGGAATTCTTGAAACTTGCACAATAACTTAATACATAACCTTGAAAACTAATTTTCCAATTCAATTAATACATTTTTGATAAACCATGGTAAATCAATGAGACAAGGCTTTTAAGTGATAACTTAGCTGTAATAACAAGGCTTAGTTATTACAGGCATTAAACTTATTACATGAGACACTTGGGAATGACTAGGAAGCTTGCGCAGAACCTCATTACATGCTCTTATCATTATTTATTACAATAAATTAAAATACATTGTGATATATGTAGGAGAAAAGGCTTTGAAGAGATGTAGAGAAGCTGTAATAACACCCTTTAGTTATTACAGGCATATTTTTTTCTGTAATAACATGGGTGTGTTATGCATGATTGGCAAACTATGGGCTGTTATATCTTTCTAAAGTTTAATATACATAAAGATAATTATAATATCAATAGAACTAGTACACAATTTAACAAAATAAAGGATGTGTAATGCCCCTTTGAAACATGTAACATACATACATAGATATAAGAAGATGTGGTACAATGTATGAGTGCCAATGAGACAACTCTCCATCCAAGTCAAAATTTATAAAAGTAAACCATTATAGGTCACAATACGTTCTTCAACACGGAGCCTTGGCTCACACCGAACAGTAAGCTATAAAGGGCCCCAAAAAATTACATGTATGTTATAACAGATTTTTGATTTTTTAGCCCTCAGTAACAAATGTATGTTATTTTTCTCTAATAACTTATTTAAGTTAGACCCTTGACTGATACATACATGCATGAATATAAATCTTTCATAAAATTTCTTTAAATTGTTTAACTTCAATGACTTGTAAGTAAGCATGGTAAGAAAAAAATTTAATGGTTCTACAACATTTTTTCTGGCCTGGGACATAGGGCTTGTGGTTAATATGAAGCTTGAAATATTGCTGCTATAAAGCAATCAATTTCTACTTAACTTCAAACAAGGATGTTTAAAGTACAAAGATGTACATAAAAATGGAGGAAGGAATATAATTTCATGATACTGATTTTCGTTTTAACACTTAGAATATCTTCTTAACATAAATATGCTTTAAATTTATGTAACAATTCTTTCTAAATAATTCATTTTACTGAAATTTTCAAGATTTTAGAAAAAAAACATGAAAAACAGCAATTTTTGCTGTACAATGTTCATGATGTATTTTTATCTAATTTTTAACCGGATTTTCGAAGTAAAAATCGGTTATTGATTTGGCGATGTACGGCGGGTGGGCGGACGGTCAGGTGGCAGGCGCCTGCCAAACAGTGTCTGTTCATTTTTGAAAAATACAACTGTGAATTGTTCATTAAATTGATACAAATAATCTTCATACATAATCAAGCTAAATCATAAAATGTCTTTTTAAAAAAAGTGGGGTCCATGTACTGGTTTTCATGCTCATGATGCTTATGATTAAAATCAGTCAACAAATGCATCTTTTCTCGATATATCACAGTTTGACTCATGTTAGCATCATCATCATCATTATCTTCTTTGTAACTGTATTGTATGCCCTTAAATTGATATGTGATAATCAGTAACAACAGATAAATGATCCAGTAAAAAATTGACAGTTGAATATCAGTCTAAAATGCATGAGGTGGGGGGGGGGGGGGGCAAAAAAATTATACTGCTATGATTATGTATGAGGACAGCTCTTGCTGGCATAACATTCAAATAATTTCAATAAATATTTGTAAATGACCACTAAAAACAAATCATAAAAGGATTATACCTTCATAAAACAGTGTATCTTTTTTGCAGACTGGACCAGTCATCCCAATGCCAGTACCATCAAGTTATAATGATGTGACACAAGACAAATCATTACGAGACTTCACAGGATGGGTTTGGTATGACAAGGAGTTCTTTTTGCCGTTATCATGGAAAGGACAGAGGGTTGTGGTTAGAGTAGATAGCGCAAGATATTATGCTAAAATGGTATGCTTAAAAATCTTAAGTTTATGCATTCAACTACATTTTTGTACATCTTTATTTAAAAAAAAATGTTTATAGCAAATACATGCATATGTTTTTACTATATCATGTATACACATGTATATAATATATAATACTTGCAAGTTATTTGGAATTTACTTTTTTAGGAATTGTATGAGATATTTTGCTGATCTCTCAGTACTCTGTTCTTTATGAATAACCATTGTTTGCTGAGTTTTGCATAACATGCATAAAGAGCTATAACTTATAAAATAAAATTGTCTGAAAAGTCAGGTTAGGTTTGCTCACTACTCATATATATACATGTATAGATCTGTATATAATTTTTCTCAATATCTATTTAAAAAAAACTAGTTCAAATACACTTTTTCCAAATGTTTTCGTATTGTTGTTATTTGTATAACATATTTTCTACAGTTTACTTTTTAGGCCCCACCTATGATAGTAGAGGAACATTAGGTTTTTCGGTCTGTGTGTCCATTCGTTCATCTGTCTGTTCGTCCGTCTGTCCTGCTTCAGGTTAAAGTTTTTAGTCAAGGTAGTTTTTGATGAAGTTGAAGTCCAATCAACTTGAAACTTTGTACACATGTTCCCTATGATATGATCTTTCTAATTTTAATGCCAAATTAGAGTTTTGACCCCAATTTCACAGTCCACTGAACATAGAAAATGATAGTGGGAGTGGGGCATCCGTGTACTACGGACACATTCTTGTTTTCAAAGTTTTGTAATAATATTTTGTATCATTCATTTTCTTTAAAAAAATATTTCATTTTGAAAATATTGTTGTTTGGAAATTCTTAACTCTTTAAACAACAGTAAAAAACTAAGTTATGAAGCTCTGTGTTAAATCAAACTGATGTTATCCATATAGGGCACACACACATTTTGTTCATTGTACAGATGCATTGAATTATAATTTTTGTAATGTTATTGTGTTGGTTTTGTAGAGAATGAATAAGTAAATCTCATCTGTTTTGCACCCCAGTTGAACAAATTAAAAGTTATAAGGAATCTCAGCTGTAGGTATACGAAATCTGGTATCATCTCCTGTGACAATGAAATCTATCATAGAAAGCTTGTTACAAGATGTTTCCTCTTAACTGAACTCAGTCAGAAATTGTTTTATAAATATATAAGGAAAATCAATATTGAATGATATTTCATTGTACAATATATTTATTGTACACTAGCTTTGAATGAAATTAAACATTTAGAGGAAAGAAATAAATTTTGAAATTGAGCTATACATTTTTGTACTTTCAGTGGATTAATTCTGTGTTTTTAGTTGAACATGAGATGGGACATTTGCCTTTTGAGGCGGAGATACAAGATATTGCTAAGTTTGGATCATTGAATTATCTAACAATAGCTGTCAATAATACACTAACACCCAACACACTGCCACCTGGTGAAATAGTGTATCAACATGGCAAGTAAGTACACACATATATATATGACAATAAGAGAGTTGTTGTTTCAATGTGGAGATTGAAAAAGTCATATTGCGTGACAATTTTCTCTTCATATGCCTAGATTTTTACACAAACCAATTACAAATAAGCGAATGTTTTGATTTAATTAGATTTCCACCTAAAAAAGTTTACCACACTGTTATAGTTAATGACTTCCTTTCCCTGATGAAAACCTACTGTAAGGTGACATCGTCCATATGTTGATGTTTTCATGCAGACGATGTTGTACTGATCCCAACATTGCATAGATTTATGATGTTATCACATGACATTTGTGTGTAAAATGAAATATGACACTGTAAATCTTAGAACTAAAGTATTGTTGAATAAAAAATTGCAACCCTAGAATTTCTGTGTCTGAGATCCTTGTTGAATGGACTTCTATATCATTCATTAAATGTAAAGATATAATAAAATTTGCACTGGTGTTAAGACCCATTATGGCTCATAGTGTTTGATCTTACCTCTTAATATTTAAGTAGACTAGTGTAATAGAAATTATACATGAACAAAATCATCCATGCACATGAAAACCATTAAAATTTGTTCACAGATTCTGACAACATGAACAAGTGTGGTGAGTCTGACTGTAGATTGTATGTCTGAGTCTTATGTGCTCATTGCCTTTCTAAGGCTATATGCATTGGTTCTGAATGGGCAATGATATTTGCTGACAAAGAAAGTTTGCATCGGAATAAAACAATTTATAAGATGCTTTGATGACATTTTAATGACATTACAACTTTTCAAACAAAATTTTTGTCATTTTTCGTTTGTTTTAAAATTTTCATATATGGTGGTCTACAAAAATATTATGACTTGTCTCCCTTTGAACACATTGAAATACGTCCTATAATGATCAGCTGATTTAAGAAAATACATTTTGATCTAAAGTCATTGACAAAATAAACATACTTGTAGACAGCAATTCCCTTTTTTAAGAAAACAAATTTTAGTGAACAAGGTGGAAATCTTCTCTCTTGAGATTAGTCATAATTCTCCCTCTTGTTTGAAGAACCATGATAACTAATGTAATTCATACATAAGTGTGATTTAAGAGGAACATGATCAATGTTGTTCTCTTGGTGCCTTCATAATACAACCCATTTAGCTGAAAAAATTTAAAGAAATGCCAGAAAGAAACCAATATTGTTTGAAGAATACTTCTTACAAAAAATTGCAAGTTCCAAAAGCTTTAAAAAAACCAGTGCTGTATAAGAAATCTTTTTTATATTCAGGATCTATTTTATGGAATCTTACCAATATTCCTGAAAAAATCAACCTCAAGTACAAGTTCATCCAAAAAGGATTAAAAAAAAAGACTTGTTGGAACATTAAGAAGCTGTGTAATTTTATATGCATATAAATTTTTCACACACTTACTTAAACTTTAAATATTGTTTGAGGTAATTTGAATGAAGCCAATACTTGATGAATTCATCATGTTTACCTGTTTTGTAAATTTTATATTTCATAACAATTTCTCATTTGATTTTCTGATATGTTTGTTTGTTAGATTATTTTGTAATTCTTTGGTTGTTATACTTCAATGTATTTCATGAGGGCCTCATGGAAGATTAGTTGTATAGCTAACTGTGTAACCCTCTTTAAATAAAGAATTATTGATATTATCATAAATTTTATTTAATGAGTCCTGAAAAGCTATTAATATCATATTTTAATATTAGAATAAGTATGATAATACCAAAATAATTATGACTGATTTTATATTTTACAGTTATCCTCCTTCTTTCTTCATTCAGACATTAAACTTTGGATTTTTTAACTATGCTGGTATAGACAGACAGGTTCGTTTGTATACAACACCACTTGTATATGTATCTGATGTCCGTGTTGTAACAGATTTCACAGAAAATGGAGGCAAGTGATACCTTAGCTTTAGATCATAAATCTAATAGACAACTTTAGAGTTCGTTGCATCGTCAAAAACTTGGTTTTAGTGAACATCATTCGTGCGTTTAGAGGCATCATGACTTCCTTCCCATGTTGAGCGAGGGGTTGAAACAATATAATGCTGTATTGCACGAATTATTCGGCAAATAAATTCTTATAATTGATAATCAGCACTGCTGTCATTAGGGAATTGTGATTAAGTACCTAAGGAACAAATATTATTTCTAGTTTATCCTGCATAATGACGATCACGAAGACCCTTGATGAAATTTAATAGTGCATGGATACAGGGAATCGCCTCTATTTTTTTAATGACATCATAAAGACTCGCATAATTGACGAACTTTTCCAGTTAAGGACATACTTGAAAGTGGTCTATTAAAATATATATTGATGATCATGTGCAGACTACATTGTACACTGTTTGCCTCTTCACATTGACTTAGCTTCATTAACAAACACAAACATTCTCAGTAAATGTGTTGTAAAAGTGTCTACTGTGGATTCATTTATTTTTGTATGTACCAATTTTTATGGATTATGAAAAATTGTATTTTCATGGATATTTAAATAGTGGATTTGCCAAAGTCTGTATATATATATGAACTTATTGAAAGTTTATACTTCATTAAACATTTAGATTTGTAGATAACCTTCACCCTCAAAAATTGGTACCACAGGAATAATAATGAATCCACAGTACTTTCTTCTCTCATGATTAAAAATGAATTACAAATCACATAGACTGAAATAAACATTATTTTACATAACTATACTGAGTTTTATCAATTGGTCTTGCATACTTCTACTTGCTTTGTCTTTACTTTTGTTAGTACAGAGGCGGATTAAGGGGGAGGGGGCAGGGGGCCAGGCCCCCCGTATGGAGCTTCATATAGGCTTGATGCATAGACTTTATATTCTATATTGTCCAAATTTCCGTTGATGTCATCTGTGAGCTCAGATCAAACCAATGGCAACAACTTCAGTTCATTGAAATATGAAAAACAAGGAAAACAAAATGTAATAATCTATAAATATCTCAATAAAAACAACATATAAAAGCTAGTAAATGGAATGTGAATATTTAGTGAGACCTATTTTAATATCTCAATGTGAAATTGTTTTTTATTTATGAATTTAGGTTCATATACAGGTACTGTTTATTGGATGATAACAACAAACTCTGAAGAGGCCAAAGTTCAAGTGGAAGTTGTTGATGCTGATAGTAACACTGTTGTCATGGGAGAAGGTATCAAAGGTCAAGCTACTGTTTCAAATGTAAAGCTATGGTGGCCATATTCAATGGTGAAAACTGGAGCTGCCTATATGTATGAATTAAAAGTAAGTATTTTAGATGTGTAAAAATGAAGTTAATGGAAAGTATTGTTATTTTAAATTTGACCTCTCATTGGTCCAATAGGACATGTTTTTTATTTATCGACCTGAGAATGCTTTACATTTAGTGTTACAGATGTGCTCTGGTCGTTTGTGCAATGTTATCATGGTTATAGTGCACTCAAAATACCTGTTTTGACACAGTGTTAAACTAAAATTTCTTTCTTAAGGCTAGTGTTAAATTTAAGTACTATTGTTTTCGTGACCTATTAAACTGATCTCATGAAAATGTGAATGCATATTGACAAAAAAAAAAATGTTCACATATATACATAATATATATATTAAATAGATATAAGAAGATGTGGTATGAGTGCCAATGAGACAACTCTCCATCCAAGTCACAATTTATAAAAGTAAACCATTATATGTCAACACAGAGCATTGGCTCAAACCGAACAGCAAGCTATAAAGGGCCCCAAAAATGACTAGTGGAAAACCATTCAAACAGGAAAACCAACGGTCTAATCTATATAAAAAACACTTATAAACCACATCAACAAACGACAACCACTGAACATCAGGTTACTTTATGTTTGTGAGGATAAAATATATAGAAAACTTAAAGTCAGGGATAATACTTATACAACTTATTTTTTTTTTATATTTGACAATGTAAGTAATATTTACTTTTATTAATTAACTACACTGTTATTGGACTTAATATGATGAAAACTGCCTATGCAATATAAAGGTGTCAACTTGGCCAATACAGAATAACTCGGCCAATATAGATTTTGTTTCTGTATTGGCCGAGTTCTGATCCGGCCAATACAGGATTTCGGAACGTCTCTAGTTTTTAGATGGAAAGTCACGATAAACACAAACTGAAAGTAAACAGTTGTTTGGAAGACGCAGTTCATTTACTCACCATAAACATGCTGAAACGTTCAGTATGGCATATATTTCAGGCTAAAGACGGTCACATTCATTTAAAAAGCATTTTGAAAGCAGACGATGGAATTATTTCAGGTTTGGGGAACGAGTAGATTATCACAAAGTTCATTTCTTGTCGTCCTCATAATTTCACGATGGTACAAATCGATTTACTGTTTACTTTCGCTTCTCATGTTTTGTAAACTGTCATTTATTTTTAAACCCGAACCAGGCATATATGCATTCTGGAAGGGTGACCTGTAATTGTGCAAATCTTCGTTCTTTGGTCAGTTGGCTTATGGATGTATCATTTTCAACTCCTACATTATTTTTTTTTAAATATATTCAATTTGTTTCTGCATAACACATGCAATGGCAGCACCTTTCCAATTACTATTTATGTGTTGCGTCTAAATTTAAATTGTAACACTTTATAGTGACTGGAAAGGGTAGAAAAATTTATCAGATGACAAAATGCTGAAGACACCTGGAAACGGCACCAGATCATTAGATATTGCATCTTATAAAAAGAAACTGAGATTTGGATAGTTCCACTTCAAGGTAAAAATGTTTATCTCTTGTGAAATGAAACAAGAAAAATATTGTAACACTGTAGTTAATTAATAAAGATACTATTACGTGTATTTCTGTATTGGCCTTGTTATTGGTCCTTGGCCAGCTGTATTGGCCTGAGGCTTCGCCTCAGGCCAATACAGCAAGCCTCGGACCAATAACAAGGCCAATACAAAAATACTCACGTAATATCATAGTAAAAGTTAAAATAAAGTTTCTAAGGTTTGAATAATCTTCCTTTAAGCTTCTCCCAAAAAATTACTGAAAAAAACCCATCAAAAACCCCATAAGAACAATGTAACAAAAAGATATACATGTTAGAAAACAAGAAAATATGACTTTCTTAATTATATTTTGACAACTAAGGAAGATAACTATACCTCAAAAATTATTTATCTGTACCAGTGAGTAAACATTACATGTGTGATTATTACCCCTGAATGAATGAGTTGAATTTATTGTGTCACAATTATCGAACTATGTATTATTATTTGATGAATGACTGTAATATTTTTTCTGTCTATGAAGAAATAAACCTAAATAATGTGGTGCACATTGAATAACCAGCATAGCATGTTATTTAAAAGTGTGCACCACATTTTTGAGGTTATTTCGAATAGACAGAACAAATATAACAGTCAGTCCTTATTATTTAATTCTAAATTCCATTTTTAAGGAATAAATCATGAAAAAACGTTGATGACATCACGGTCACGTGACAAAATTATGTCTATGAGCTGATAGACAAAAAACTTTCAGCCAATCAAAATGTTATCATTCAGTAGCTTAAAATTATGTATGAGGAGTATCCATCAAAGAGACAGTAAACCAGGGACACAAAAAATAAAGAAATAAAAACCGAAACCGAAACATTTCAAGGTTAATAAAAGTCAGGCACATACAGAATGTAAACTCAATCACCATGTCTAAAAAAGTTTGAATTCAACTGATAGATATAAGAAGATGTGGTATGAGTGCCAATGAGACAACTCTCCATCCAAGTCAAAATTTATAAAAGTAAACCATTGAGACTATTAAAGGTCTGCCACGAAATCATCCTTGATTTATAATAAATATGCTTGGTATTTTCAAAGCTGAAGCTTATTCCTATATGTTGGACCATGCAAGCTTTTGTTTAAAGCTAATACCTTAAGAGGATATAAACAAAAACCACCAAATTTAAACTAAAGCTTGATAATAAGATTGAATTTTTTCTGTATATACATGCATCATATTATAAACAGGTCACAGTTAAAGATTCAACAAGTGCATCAACAGATATTTATAGACAGCCATTTGGATTCAGAACTGTAAACAAAACTAACACACAGTTGTTGATTAACAACAAACCATTTTATTGTCATGGTGTGGCCAAACATGAGGATTATGATGTAAGTATGCATATGAAAAGCAGGAGATATAATTAACAATGTACAGTTGTCTCCCGGCAAACATAAACAATCTCTTTATTGCACTTTATAAGTTTGATTGCCGAAAAACCCCAAAATTTGAAAAGCTATTGATGTAAAAATACCTGAATATGTGTAGAGCTATATGAGGGTGTAGATGCGGGTCCTTCATTTCTGTATTCTTAATTTTTTTAGGCCATTTTTCTCTATTCTTTATACTTTTTGCCCATTATTCTCTATTTTTTATATTTTAGCACCTCATTATTCTCTTTTCTTTATATTTTTTGCACATTATTCTCTATTCTGAAAACCCCCATCCACACCTTTTTATATAAACAAAAGGAACCTAAATGCATAGCCAAATCTATCCAAGATTAAAGTTGCTGAGAGGGATGGAGAGTTGGTTTGCTAATTACATGAATTATTTCTAAATTTATCAATAGATAATTTAAGAAAAGTGTGATATAAATCATGTCAGTTCAGAAGAACTTGATACTGAGCTATTGATACCCTCTGGTATATGAAATATTTTATAAATTGTTGAGTAGCATCTGAAGCACTTTTCTGGATTTACCTTCATCAGTAAAGCTCATACCCCAAAAATTAGAAGCCAAGGATGAACTTTTTGGAAACAATAGGACTTCACTTTTAATTATGATAGAAGAAGTTTAAGATATATTATTTATGTACATATTGCTCAGCCCTCTTTGAAATACTTTTCTCTTTTCTAGCTTAGAGGTAAAGGTTTGGATATGGTCAGTGTAGCTAAAGATTTTAACATATTGAAATGGTTAGGTGTGAACTGTTTTAGAACATCCCACTACCCCTATGCAGAGGAAATAATGGACCAGGCTGATCAGCAAGGCATTGTTGTTATTGATGAATCACCAGCCATAGGATTAATCCAGTAAGTTAAGAAGGGTCAGTTTTCAATTTCCATATAACCAAGCTAACATATCTGTAACCATGGACACTTTGATAGCTTACCAGATATATGTTGTACAATATAGCTTTAGTTATGCTGCATCAGATGACAGATTATTTGTGTTGAAACAAAGAACAAACATTACCAATACAGTGACACAGTTATTTCAAAAATGTACTTCTTAAATTTTTGAATATCTCTGGGTAATTTACTGAAGTGGGAACATTTTCTGAGAAACATATATCAGTTGAACAAGTTTGAAGCCAGTTTTCTTTACAGATATGTTTAATTTGTGAAAAAAAAACCATATCTATTTTGAAAAAAACTGTTAAAGTGTTATATAATAAAAAATTGCACACAAATATTAAGACTAAAACTAAAGACTCATTATCATTATGATTTAATGATGTGCATGGTTTGGTATATATATGTAGAACATAAAACAATTAATGTTCCTACAGATGACATTTTATATGCAAGTATATACTGATAAAGAAAAATTATTTTAACACATGTATTCCCAAAGATTATAACCATAATAACTTACCCTAAAACAAAAATTTCACAAATAGGCATCATTAAACATTTGATGAAAAACTGAAATTTTACTCAGTATGATTTGCAATATTTGCACAGTCTAAGAACTTTAGCATTTGTATAACATTTGTCAATTTTTGTAATGCCAACATTGCATTTATTACCTATTGTTACAGTGGAAATAATTATGGGAACCAGACCTTGACCTTACACCTTCAAGCCATGAGAGAGCTTGTATCCAGAGATAAAAACAGACCCGCAGTCATAGCATGGTCTCTAGCTAATGAACCTAATTCTAGATTTGAAATGTCTGGTCCTTACTTCCAGTGAGTATAAAATAGTTACTTGTACTCCGGATTCCTTTATTTTCGTGGGTACCAATTTTCTTGGATTGAGGAAAAATTGTGTTTTCTTGGATAATTGATTTCTTTGTTTTGCCAAAGTATGCACAAAAGCCTATAGATTAGTTATACTTTGTTGGACATTTGAATTTGTGGTTTAACTGTACCTAAGAAATCCACAAAGATTGGTAATCTATGAATAATAATGAATCCACAGTATTTAGCAAAGATATGTTCATATGCCTGTCTGAAATTAGGAAGCTTAGTTTTTATCGTAATGTTTTTTTTTTCATTTAAGGAATTTTAAATTGATTGTCTCATTTTTGAAATATGATTGTCTTGGTTAAATCTATTTTCAAGTATTTTGGACTTTGGCAATTCAGAGCTTGACATATTTTATATTGATTAATTGATTGGTGTTTGACACCAATTTTAGCACTGTTGGCTAGTTCATGGCTGCCAATTTTTATATGCCCGTTTACGGGACATATTATGGTATACCATTGTCTGTCCATCTGTCCGTCCGTCGTCAACATGTCGGACATTAACTCAAAAATGCTTGAAATGATACGCATGAAACTTTAGTGAATTGTTTATATTTATTGACGTGAGCTCCCTTTTGTTTTTTATAAATTTCAGATTTACCGTTTCTGAGTTTTGGGGTTTTATTCATTAAAAAAGGGGGGATTTTTCAGTTTTCCAACAATAACTCAAGAATGCTTTCACCCACTTGCAAGAAATTTTGGTGAATTGTTTATATCTATTGACATGAGCTCCCTTTCGATTTTTTTATCAATTTTATATTTTTCGTTTATGAGTTACAGGGTTTTATTCATAAAAAAGGGGGATTTTCCAGTTTTCGGACAATAACAAAAAAATGCTTTCAGCAGTTCTCATGAAACTTTGGTGAATTGTTTATATCTGTTGATGTAAGCTCCCTTTAAAATTTAATAAATTTTAGATTTTACATTTCTGAGTTATGGGGTTTTATTCATTAAAAGAGGGGGGATTTTCCAGTTTTTGGACAATAACTCAAAAATGCTTTCAGCAGTTCTCATGAAACTTTGGTGAATTGTTTATATCTGTTGATGTAAGCTCCCTTTAAAATTTAATAAATTTTAGATTTTACATTTCTGAGTTATGGGGTTTTATTCATTAAAAAAGGGGGGATTTTCCAGTTTTTGGACAATAACTCAAAAATGCTTTAAGCAGTTCGCATGAAACTTTGGTGAATTATTTAAAGCTATTGATGTAATCTCCATATTGATTTTCATAAATTTCAAATATGACATTGAGAAGAAATTTAACTTTTTTTGTTTATAGTCTGACAACAGATTTACTAAGTATTGCGCAACAGCACAGTGTATTCATGGTATTGCACAACAGCAAGAAATCGTTAATTGAATATAAATTCAATTCATATAACCAATTTGAAGTTCTTTGACTACATTTATTCAGAAACCTATAATATGTCAAATATTTATTTACAATCCAAATTCAAACCTGTATCAAGCTTGAATATTGGGTCCATTTTTGCCCCAACTGTTCAGGGTTGGACCTCTGCGGGCGTATCCAGCTGCGCTCAGCAAACAGTTTATTATTGTTGGAGGAAGCCTCAGTGCCTGCAGAAAACCTCCGGCCTTCAGTAGGAAAACTGACAATCCTTTTCAATTGGAATCAAATGCATCTGCCATGTGTGTGAATTGAACTCACAACCTCAGTGTTGACAGACTAGTGATATAGTAGACCACTCGGCCAGAGTATTTTTTATAGACACTTGTCTATTGTTGAAGTCCATATATTAACCTCTTTATGTTGTTTGGTTTGACATGCTATATGCTAGCTGTGTCATTGGCATATGCATTTGTTTTTGTTCATATGACCTAGTTTGCAATTACAGCTTTTACTTTATACTTTCAGTTTCAGTTAAGGTAAAGAATGAAAGCATAATAAAACCTCTCTGCTAAAATGACAAAATCAGAAATATATTGAATCTATGATATATAGAACAATGCAGAGTTTTCCTGACAAAGAAAAAAAAAACCCAAATAACCATGTGAAAATTATAACAAATATATTGCTTGCATGAATATTTGAATAAGATGAGTATGGTAAATAAAAAAAAAACTGATGTGAATATAAATGTGCTGTTTATGTGGCTGGTATATTTTCCCCCTGTTAGAATAACCTAAAAATATCTAATGAATCTCTGGCTTGAATGAATTATTTTATAATAAACCTCAAGAAAAAATGTGTTTTATCTTTATAGTTCACACACAAACATTTGCAGTGATTTATTTATATTTTGTTTCATTGGCTACTATTTGCAGTTAAATCCACAGTTAACATGTCATAACTAAGGGATGAGCTGCCATATTGACATGCTGAAATCCATAAATGTTCGATTGATGCAATAGAATAGATAATGGAACATCACCTACCTCAAAACTCCATCTTAACAAGTAACAGAATAACCTTCAGCTTGAAAGTATTCATTCGTATGATATCATGGTTTGACATGTAGTTAATGCACCAAGATCATACATGAAATTTTGCAGAATTATTTTCTAAGCTCTAATGCATTAATTATTTTTGTCAATTTCAATTTTTAGAGAAATAAACGTAATGTTTGCACATAGGTTAAGATACATATGAATGTACATGGGAGGTAAAATGTAACATCCTTAGATATGTACATCTGTGAGTCTGTGCTAAATATAGATATAGGGAGAATTTTATCAGACTGTTATTAACAAAGCGAAAAGCAGCATGTCATATTAGAATCATTTCTTAAATATGTTTTAACATTGATGGAACTTGTGGTAATTACACCCTTTTGCTTCATAGACAGGTATATAATTTGACAAAGTCCCTGGATCCAACTAGACTGGTAACCTTTGCTTCAAGTAACAGTAACCCATTGTCTGATCATGTGGTAAGTTTATGTATTATATATATTTATGCAAATTATATTGAACATCTTTTTTTGTCTCCCACTATTCAATGACTGAGTCATATAATGTCACCATTATCCACCCTACAAACAACCAGTTCCTCAGATTTTTTAATATCATGCCTATAGATATTGGGCTACATTTGTTTTATACATGTAAAATGATAAGTAACAGGTCATGGTGGAATTTTGTTTTCAATAATTTACTTTCAGAATAAAGACCAATATGAAAATTGTATATGGTAGCAGGCATATAGTTTTCATTAATTATGACGAATTGTAATATATTTGGCCGAAGTTATTTATCAATTTACAATTTACAGTTCAACAACTTATAGCAAATCCTTTAGATTTGACTATGTAATTTCATTTATATTTTACAATTACTATAATTTTTATATGTATATGCTGACATTGAAAATAAATATTGTGAGGAATAAATATTTGTGACCGATGCTGCATCCATGGTATACAGACACATTATTTAGCTATGATAAATAAAATATGAGTAAAAAAAAGATTTGGGGTATATCTCAATGAGACAGCAACCCAATGATCAGAGCTCCAGATAAGCTGCGTATTTGCGTGATCACGCAGTAAAAATAATTGAAAACCCAATGCAATTGCCCATTGCAGCGTTCTAAAACCCAATGCATGCAAAGGAAAACCCAATAATTTGTCAAAACCATGAGTTCTTAACGCTTTTAGTCGCTATCGTGTGCGCTATTTACCCTTATCTATTACATAGTCGTCGCGTAAATCTATTTTTGTAATATTGAAAGTCGGAAATGTCCTTTTGTTCTAAAATTAGAGCGTTGAAAGGGTCCCTGTTGAAATTTTCTGTTGCTTAAAGGTACACGTGGTGATGAAAACATTTCGATCTTCTCTGTCTTTATCCAATTAGCGTTAGTCATGTCGTCATAATTCTTTTCGTATTGCTCGGGATTTAACATTACACTTAGCAAAGAATTAAAACTAAAGTAGATTTCCAGTAAAAATATTGAATAGAAGCATGCTTTTAGCTTCTTTTTGAGAGCTGAGGAATTCTGATGAAAACAAGACCCAGCTAGTGTTATTACAATGGCGTGTTTGCGTGCCTTAACGAGAACAGGGTTAGAACGCGTCAGAACTAAATCAGTTGGAACATGAAAGGCCAAATCACTTATATGAAGTCAGCATCGGTAACCAAAAGTTCTAATAAGGGACAAGTAAACCCAGATTTATGTAAATAAAATTAAACGAAAAAATTGCTTATTTTTAGTTTAAGTGTATATATAATATATATTTCATTTTAGTTGATGAGTGAACACACATATTAGTTTAATGTAAATGTAGCTTGCCACTTTCTTTGTTTTTGGTCAATTGTTCTGTATGCCTAAGATACATGTAGTTGTCTTATTGGCAAGTGCAGTACACCATTGTCATTTATTTATTTGATGTTGCAGGATTATTTGTAAATTGAATGTGGTCTCAGTCATTAAACCACCCTATAAACCTGGTCAAGGATCTTAAATCTGGGAGCTACTTATTTTTTTAAGCTCACCTGGCCCAAAGGGCCAAGTGAGCTTTTCTCATCACTTGGCGTCCGTCATCCGTCGGCGTCGTCGTCGTTAGCTTTTTAGAAAAATCTTCTCCTCTGAAACCACTAGGCCAAATTTAACCAAACTTGGCCACAATCATCATTAGGGTATCTAGTTTAAAAAATGTGTCCGATGACCCAGCCAACCAACCAAGATGGCCGCCATGGCTAAGAATAGAACATAGGGGTAAAATGTAGATTTTGGCTTATATCTCTGAAACCAAAGCATTTAGAGTAAATCTGACATGGGTAAAACTGATTATCAGGTCAAGATCTATCTGCCCTGAAATTTTCAGACAAATCTGACAACCTGTTGTTGGGTTGCTGCCCCTGAATTGGTAATTTTAAGGAAATTTTGCAGTTTTTGGTTATTATCTTGAATATTATTATAGATAGAGATAAACTGTAAACAGCAATTATGTTCAGCAAAGTAGGATCTACAAATAAGTTGTCATGACCAAAATTGTCAGTCGACCCCTTTAGGAGTTATTGCCCTTAACAGTCAATTTTTAACAATTTTTCGTAAATTTTTGTAATCTTTTACAAAAATCTTCTTCTCTGAAACTACTGAGACAAATTTAACCATACTTGGCCATAATCATTATTAGGGTATCTAGTTTAAAAAATTTGTCCGATGGACCCGCCTTTCCAACCATCATGGCCAACTTGGTTAAAAATAGAACATAGGGGTAAAATGCAGTTTTTGGTTTATATCTCTGAAACTAAAACATTTAGAGCAAATCAAACAGGTGGCAAAAATGTTCATCAGATTTAGAATTATCTGCCCTGAAATTTTCAGACAAACCGACAACCTGTTGTTGGGTTGCTGCCCCTGAGTTAGTAATTTTACAAAAATTTTGCAGTTTTTTGTTATTATCTTAGATATCATTATAATATCTAATATCTAATTCTATTAATTATGATTTTAACCTTATTTTACATGATTTCCAAAGCATCAGTAAATTCAGGTGAGCGACACAGGCTCTTGAGAGCCTCTAGTTTAAGTAGGTCTGGAAAACAGGTGATAGGGACTGGCAACACTATCTTACATCACTTAATGACATAAATGTTCACAAATATTACATAAAAATCTGAAAACTATTAGCCACACCTACCCTAAATAAACTGAATGGTGATCATATGTGCTCTAGAACGGTAATTAGGTACTGTCCTATTAGTGTCACCAGTAAATATAAGTTATGGAAAATACAAAACTCTGTGTTGAAACCGGACACAGATTAAACATACAATTGCTGGCCAGTGTATAAACCAAATAAAATAGTTATCACATTTAAAAGAAACATATTTTATTAATAAGATGGATGAACATCTCTGTTTGATAGAATGTGATTATAACATGCCTAAATTCAATATTGTGTTGATGAAAAAACCCAATACGTTAAGGAGCTTGGTGGTGAAAAACCCAATTTTATATTTGCTTGAGGGGTGAATTGGAATTAATAATGCAATTGAAAAACTATTTCACTCAATTAAATAAAAAATGGTGGGTAAAAACCCCAATTTGTGAACTCTTATCTGGAGCTCTGAATGATACAGAAAAAAAGTAGTGGACATATATCAGTCAACATATGGTTGTCATCAATTATGAAGAATTTATACAATATCAGCTGAATATGTCATAATATAAAAAGGAGATGCGGTATGATTGCTTATAAGTTATGAAGCATCTATCCACCAGAGACCACAGGGTGAGAATGTAAGATCTTGATATCCCAGTGTCAATAAAAATTGTGAATATATTTAACAGAGACTAATATTAGATGCACATTCACTAGAAATAAGAGTTTTTAAATTTAGTAATGTTTTGCAGAAAATCACAGCTCCCAATGGTTGTTTTTCCCTTTTTTAGATGAACATAGTTGATGTTGTTATGGTTAACATCTATTTTGGGTGGTACCAAGACACTGGTTACCTGCAGACTATTCCATACCAGGTACCACCAACTCTGGAAGGTCTTTTTAAGCACTACAATAAACCTGTAATGGTATCAGAATACGGAGCAGAAACTCTAACAGGATTACATACAGTAAGTTTTCATTCTTCTTGTTTCAATATTTAAAGACATATATGTACTGTACTCTTTATTTACAGCAGTTGTCATCTGATCACCATTATCTGTGCTGTTCCAGGCTGTTACAGTTTATTATCTGTGTTACCTTCCCATTTACACAATGCACCTTTACCTTATACTTAATTTAGCCTACTAGTACATCTGTGATTTATTATCTTTTTTGTACTTTAAGGGCTGTTGATTAAATCATAATTGTGTTTTATAGCAAAGTATCACTACCATATCTATGCAAATGGTGATGTAGGCCTAAGGTATACATTTTTTTTAGGAATTATAATAACTAAATATATTTTCATTTATCTACAGAGTCCATCATTTACATTCTCAGAAGAATATCAGAAAGACTTACTCATTCAGTATCATCAAGTATATGATAAAATAAGACATGAGTATTTAGCTGGAGAAATGATCTGGAATTTTGCTGATTTCCTTATTGATCAAAGTAAGTAGTTAACATGTCTGGTACATGTTGAGTAAAACAAACTATAGAAAGATTGGGCTACTGTCTGAATTCAAAGTTGAAAAAAAAGGAAATGTATTCAAGCACATACATACTCATTCCAACGAAATATAAGAGGAGCGTTAGGTCCTCTTGCTCTTAAAATCCCCCATGGACATTTTGAAAAGTTGGCAGGTAAGATGTTGTTTATAAAGTCCATAAAATAAGATACAATCCATGTAAATTAATTGATCCTTTGAATAAACTTATTCTTAAAGGTTATCAATTTAATACAGTAGTATAATCTTTAAATATTGTTTTTATCGGTACAAACATTGAGTTTGTTTTTTAAAGATTAAAACATAACTAAATATAATTTGCTATAGATGTACAGATCTTTTGAGTTAAGGCAATTGCAACTGAATTTTACAAGTTGGTCTTATGTTGTGCTGTTACACTAATATCCCATGTTAGGGGGAGGTTTCAGCACTCACAAATATGTTTAACCCCTGCACATTCTATATATGTCTGTCCCAAGTCAAGAGCTTGTACCTGTGTGGTTATCACTGGTTCAGTCCTTTCATATCTGTTTTTTGTTAATTGTTTTGTTATAAATTAGGCCATTAATTTCCTTGTTCAAATTGTTTGAAATTTTTTATGTTGGGGCTTTTTATAGCCAACTATGCGGTATAGGTTTTTCTCATTGTTGAAGGCAAATAATTGCTTACATCCACTTCATTTGAACTCTGGTGGATAATAGTTGTCTCATTGGCAATCATACCACATCTCCTTATTTTTATATTTAACTTTACATTACTCTGTTTTAACAAAACATTTTCCTTGCATTATTCTTGATCTTTAATTCATGTCTACCATGTCTACTACTAATATATTGATACATGTTTTATATTACAGAAACAAATTGGGCATATGGTTGTAACAAAGGACTGTTTACAAGACACAGACAACCCAAGATGGCCGCCTTTACTGTTAGAGAGAGATACATGAAGATGATTAATGAAACTCAGAAGTACCAAAACTGATTATGGGGCTGCACAGCTGACAGTCATTTGCGAAATAAAACAAAACGCTACACTAAAGTTGATATAGAAAAAATAATGAACTAAATATTTTTTGGGATGTTCTTTTTTTTGTGAATTACTTTGTTTCATACATTCCAATTTTACAGCAAAAACATCTCTACCTCATACTATATTTATGTCACTTTTGTAATTTGAATATTAAACTGTTACTGATTGAAAGACAAAGAAACATTGTTCTTATATAAATTAGCTTAATTAAATAATGACTTTATCTTATACCTAGACAAGTTTCTTTCCAGTGCAATAAGGTTTTTTTTAATAGATCTAGATTTGATTAACTAGTTGCCAAAATATATGAAATATGTTTTTATATTAATGCCAATTACAATGAAAACTTTCTAATCATTTAATATTTACCATGGGGAAAACTAAGAAATTCAGGACCTATACATATATATATAGTGACACTTCAATCCACAATCAACAATTTATGTATAACAGTACTTTCAAACAGTATTTGTCACTAAGAGGAGTATGAATATAGACAATAACTGTTAAGTGTCTTTAAATACCAGCTGTATTTGTACGAGGCTAAGAAACAGGTGTAATACCAGCTTCAGCGAGCTATTTCTCCTGTTTCGAGCCGAGTACAAATACAGCTGATATTTAAAGACACTAAACAGTTATTGTCTTTATCCTGCAATTAAATTTGTACATTTTTTCCCAATCCCAATCGTTGAATTTGTTTTTGAAAGAAATGGACATGATTTAAATGCGGACCGCAATGAGGACCCCAAATTGAACTGTGACGTAAACAGTAATTTGACATAACCGTTCGCTCGCAACAGAAGTAGGATACCAGGAGACTATATACGTCTAGTATACGTATATCGCTTCATGTTATCTGTACACCTGTATTAGTATAGTAGAAAGGTCGATTGCAGGATAAAATATGATATCTATGAATACATAATGAGATTAAGTATCATATTTTATATCATCTAGCAAGATGAGCAAGTGTTCCTTGTCATCTGTTAACTTTTCATCTTTTTGGCATGGAAATACAGTGCAAATTAAACTAAAGTTTCAAGATGATGTTTTCATCTAGCTTAATTCTTGTGCTGAAGAGAGCTAAACGATGAATTGGAATTGTTTTTACAGTCTTTCATATATTACTAACATAGAACATATTTTGGAATTTTTAAAATATAACTGCCTATTAAAATATTTTAGATATAATTATTACAATGAATTTTTAAATTGTTTTATGCAATTCCAAGAAAAATTGCCATTTGATTTTTTTCAAGTTTTGTCTTAAATCACATATTAAATAAGCCCCACAATTATAATTTTTTTTGCGTTAGTTAATGAGGTTAATGAATTTTATTGGTTAACATGTAGTTTACCTTCCTATAAAGTATACAAAGTGAGAAGATTGTGGTCAGTTTGCTAAAGTTGTGGTTATATTTTGTTGATTAAAGTAATTAGGAAAACTGTATGTGTTATTTGTTTATATCACAAAATAGGTTTATTTGCTTGTTGCTATTTGTTAATTATGAAATATTGTTTTTTCTATAAATAATAATGTGGGTTGCTTTTGATATTTATTTAATTAAGGACACAAAGTGGAAAATATACACATATTATTTCTATGAAATGAGATGTATAAAAAGGTTGTAACATTGGTTTCTTTATGAGACATTACAAAAAGATGTAATATTTTTTTTCTAATTGAGAATGTTATATGATTGTGTGTTGAATTTATGAAGGAAAAAAGTCGCAAGATTGCAGTTACTTTATTTTATATTTTTATGTTGGGATGCTGTGTTAGTTTTGTTATGAATGAAACTAATTCTAGATATTACTGTTGTTAGTGAATGACGATGCAATAGTTGTAAGAGTTAAGTAGATTTTTCAAATCACAAATTTAGTAGTGAAAATGCTGTAGTTTGTTTGATCATTTTATGAAGTGGGAACATTGTGGTAAAGTTTTTAAAAGATATCTAATATATTTTTGTATGACATTCCTTGTTTTTTTGCTTTTGTGATTTACATTAGGATTACATTTGAATGTCTTTGATCTACATTATTTGTATGAAATGTATGTTTATAATCCATTTAACAATTTTACATCTAGTACTGTTAACCTTTATACTTATCATTACTGTTCACAAACTCAATTTAATAATAATTTAGAATTGAAGTGTATGTGATTTAATTTGATAGTCTGTGCAAAACCTGATAATCAATATATATTCTGTAGATCAAACAATCATTATGTTTAGTTCAAGTAATAAAGTTAATCATTAACCAAATACAACTGTGAAAGTAGAAATTTTTATGCAGGTTTTAAGTTTGCTTATTAAATTAAAACCACAACAAAGTTTTACCTACAAAAAATGTTCATGTACTGGAGTTCATGATAAAATATCCTCATAAAATTAATCTCAAAGACAAAACCAGAAAATTTTAACTCAACTTACTGTGGATTCATAATTATTCGTTGTATACCAATTTTCGTGGATTTCGTGGGTACATGTGAACCACGAATTCAATTGTTCAACGAATTACAAATTTTCTATAGGCTGTGTATGCAGAGATCAGCATAACCATGAAATCAAATATCCACAAAAATGCAAGATTTTCACAATCCACGAAAATTGATACCCACGAAAATAAATGAATCCACAGTAAATAAATATGGCATTAATATATGATTGTCCTTTTTTCGTTTTTTTGGTGCAAAAACTGTTAAAAGATTAAAATATAGCTTTCCTAATAACTCTACAATCTTGATTTTTATATTTTTTCCTTCTGATATGGCAAGTGACTAATTTGTTAATCTAAAGACCAATATTTTTTTTCTATTAAGAACAAAAAATGTAAATCAATAAGCAAAATCATTCCTTTAGGATTGTTCCTTTTTCTTTTCGTTTATTTGTGTGCTAATTCTTTAAAGACATTGAACAGCATCACTCTTTATTCCACCATTATGATTATTAGAATGTATCCTATATTTGACATGTTACAATCTAGTTTAATAACTGCCTTTGTAGTTTGATCATACATTAAGATTATTGAATACTCACACTCCAATTAAATACTCAGTACAACTACCATTAATTTAAAAAACAAATTAGGCTGTACTTATTACTTTCACTTGACTGGGTGGGGTTTAACCTGTTCGCTTATCATAGACCAGTTCATCAATAGACAGGTGTTTTGGGATAAACTCTTCAATTATGTGTCCAGTTATGGTCATTGGTCTGGTTAAATATGTAAACACCATTATAATGTGTATTCGCAAAGTAAATGGTGGATATGAAAGTATAACTATGACGATGGCAGTTGCAAAATATGCATATTTCTTTATTCAATAACATTTTAATATACCTTTTTTCTTCCTTTTATTCCGAATGTATCATTGGAAAAAGGGGGAGTAGTGGGGAAAAGTTGCAAATGGTACTCCGACCTTATTGATTTCCTTTATTGAACAAGCAAGAAGAATTTTCTTTATTAAAGATTTTACTTGATGCATACTAAATGTAACAAAAGGAAATTAAAAGGTTTTAGTAAAAAATGCAAATAAATTACAAAAGGGCTGCACTGTCTCTCCTTCTTTTTGATGCTTCTGTATTTTTAACCATCTTTTTATCTATTGTAATTAATTATATTTTCTGTCTTTTTTTCCTGTTCCATATCATACACTCAGTTCTTTTGTATAGCCGTTTGTTGACACTGATAGGTGATTAGAAATCAGTAATAATAATTATAACAGTAATCATCCTTATCACACACGTCTTCAAATAAACTTTCTTTATACAAATTAAAACGCTAGCTCTGCCCGATCAGTTGAAAAAACATTGGTAAATGTTTTACTTGGATTTTTTGGTAAAATATAACATTTGTTATTTTGTACTTGTTCTAATTGTTTTAATTGCATGTACTTTTTAGGGGGAGGTTTAAAAAAATGTGCAATATAAGCTTAATGAGGATATAAATACTTTGTTTCACTGCAAATTATTTCAGTATTTCTATGCAAATGTATACATTATTTCATGTAAACATAATTATTCAGTATTTTATGTAAGCACACACTGTTGAACTTGCAGTTAAGTGTGAGCTTTTGCTCCATGTATTGAATGCTTCAACGTGTTTTGAGATAGAAAACAGCAACTTAAGCACAAAATTGTGGCTTTGGTTTATGTAAGTGCATGCAGGGATTTGTTGTCATGAGTCACTATACCTTTTCATTTATTTTCCTTTGTGAATTAAAATGCTTGGACATGTTGGACGAAATACAACAATTATAGTGGATCCAATCTTATATATGGATTAAATAGATTTTGGTTTCTATCACACAGATTCAATGACTTTAACATACCAAACATGTGAAGATTATCTACAAGTTTATTAGCCATTTCATTAAAGACGTATTTATGAATATCAGATGTTTCATGGAGTTTATTTTATATCCAGTAATTATATTGGTCCAATAAGTCAATGCATATTGTTGACATAATGTTAAAAAAACAGACCTATATATTACAGGTCAACATCCAGTTGTATTTTGATTTCAGTACATGGTGCATTTTTCAGTAAAAACTACATACACGTCTTTAGATAAGCTGGCCTAATACAGTGTCATCAGGTCATTAAAGACGCTCTGTCTGCCTACTGTAAAAATTGGTGCAAACGTGAAAAAATCTGATAAAAAATCTCTAGACAGTTATTTGAATAAAATTATGAATACTGGTAATATTCGAATATTTCATTTTGAAAACAATTCTGAAATTAATAATAGGGTCCATGATACTCCCATTTCTAGAATAAAAAATAGACTCCAAGTACTCGCAGAGCAGTTTGTGTTCGTACCGACAGACAAGGCAGCCAATAATGTAGTGGTGGTATGACGCATATACTACACAGAAGTTCTTCAAAACGAAATTATCAATTCCTCTACATTCAGGTCCGTACGCACCACTGAGAGTCAAATCGTTAACAAGCATATCACTGCCACTACCCAGCTTAAAGCCTCTTCCGAATATTTGAAAGTCCCTACCATGTACTGGTTACCGAAATTACACAAAAAACCATTTAAATTCAGTTTCATTTCCGCATCAAGTAAGTGTTCTACTACTAATCTATCAGTGCTTCTTACTACCTCCCTTACTACTATCAAAGAACTGGTTATTAACTTTTGTAATAAAGCTTATGAAAATAATGGTATTAATTATTTTTGGAGTGTTAAAAATTCTTTAGAGGTTTTAGATAAAATACATGCTTTTGATGGTCCTTTTAATTCTGTTGACAGTTATGATTTTTCTACTCTCTACACTACACTTCCACACAATCTAATAAAGAAAAAGTTTTCATATTTAATAAAATGGTCTTTCGAAAAATCTCATTGTAAATTTATTTGCTGTAACTCGTTTAAAGCCTTTTTCTGTAACGAAAAAGGAAAGTATGCTAGATACACTTACTGGAAATGTGAGGATATGATTGAAGCTTTAAATTTTCTCCTAGATAACATATATGTACGTTTCGGCGATAAAGTGTATCGTCAGGTAGTAGGTATTCCTATGGGCACTAACTGCGCCCCTTTAATAGCAGATTTATTCCTGTATTGCTATGAATCTCAGTTTATGACCAAACTCAGTAAAGACACATCATTAATACATTTGGTTGATACATTCAACAATATCTACCGTTATCTGGATGGTATTTTTTCGTTAAATAATCCAGAGTTCTCTAAATATACTCTCGAAATTTACCCAAAAGAACTTACTTTAACTAAATCTAACATAAACAGCAGCAGTTGTCCTTTTCTAGATTTAGACATTTCAATTTCTAAAGGGAAACTCCATACTAAAATTTACGACAAAAGAGACGATTTTTCAGTCCCTATTGTTAATTTTCCTTTTTTAGACGGCGATGTGCCTTTGGCTCCATCATACGGTGTTTATATATCCCAACTCGTTCGGTATGCCCGTGTGTGTAGTGATGTCATAGATTTTAACGAACGTAATCAATGCATCACTGGTAAATTATTAAGTCAGGGATTTCGTTACCATAAATTACTTTAACCAAATTCTTTCATAGATACAAAGATTTGATTAGTAAATTTGGCTGTACCTGTAGAAAACTTATTAAAAATGGTATTTCACTTCCTAAATTTTACGGTAATATTGTACTTTAAGCGCGGAAATCACTATGTGATCCGTGTAAACTCATCGAACCTTTAAACAAACTTATTAGTAAGGGTTATCGTACCAATGTTGTAATTAGATCTCTAAATATAGTTTACATTGGCACTAATATCGATTTTGTCACTAGCAAATTAAAACATAACTAAATTTGTATTTTCTTTCCAAACGGGATGTATAGAGACACACACACGTTCATTTTTATCTATAAAGAAGTCACTCCTAACTATCCTACTACCTGTCGATACATTTATTTTTGGCATTGCACAAGTCATGTCTTCTTTGACTGTTCATGACGTTAAAATACTAAATCCCTGAGATGTGTTTTAGTTGATTTCAGTCTCTGATGCATGATGTTTTATTATTAATTGTTTTGGCTTTTAACTAGCTGTCAGTAACTGCGAGTACTCTCAAATCGTACTTTCTTTTTAAATTGGCCTGTTGATACTATTTGTAATGCTTTTTTGTTATTTAATGTTAACATGGATCTTGTCTATATACCAGCTTTGATTATTTGGTATTACTACAAATTTTCACTTCTTCGTACTATGAACATCAAAATTATTTCATTTCTCCGTAAATACTGTTCTTGCACCTGTACAGGAAGTTTTATCTAGCACTTATTGTATAGTTTTATTGTTGATATTCACCCCATATGTACCAAGTGTTAAATTAGTTTTATCGATATTAAAGCAATTTCTTGGTATTCCTAAACGGAAGATTTTCAAAATTATTTTCATTTACCTGTGTATAATATGACGCAGGTTTTTTCAAAAGTGATCATTTTCTAAATATTGTTTAACATTTCACAGTGGTATCATACTTTAACTTTGTTTAAACCTGTTTATTTACTTTTGACCTTAATTATTTATCCCTTATAATTTTTATTAACTATGTATTTGCATTCAGGTATCACAGATCAAATTTATTCGTTCTTTGTGTGTTAATTTACGTTTTTTGATTGAGTTAAGCCTTCCAATTGATATTTTATAGTGAGTCTTTCTATGTTGTGATGTTATACTATTGTTTCAGAAAAGGGAGAAGGTTTGGTACCATTAAAACGTTTAATCCCGCTGCAAATGTTTGCACCTGTCCTAAGTCAGGAATCTGATGTGCAGTAGTTGTCGTCTGTTTATGTAGTTCATACGTGTTTCTCGTTTCTCGTTTTTATATAGATTAGACCGTTGGTTTTCCCGTTTGAATGGTTTTACACTAGTAATTTTTGAGGCCCTTTATAGCTTGCCGTTCGGTGTGAGCCAATGCTCCGTGTTGAAGGCCGTACCTTGACCTATAATGGTTTACTTTTATAAATTGTTGCTTGGATGGAGAGTTGTCTCATTGGCACTCATACCACATCTTCCTATATCTACTAATTTTAAGATAAGCTGGCCTAATAGGTCATTCTCATCACTTAGAGTGTCTGTTGTTGTTTCTGTCCTTGTTTGTGTCCGTCGTTGTAAACTTTAATAGAATTCTTACTGTTGTATGTTGACCATAGTACCATTATACTCAAATTTTTCTTGTTGAAGGTAAATGATTTTATAGAAATATAACTTTTTAGCACATCTGGCCTAAAATATCACTATTTATCTCAAATGGCCCAAAGGGCCATGTGACCTTTTCTCATCACTTGGCTTATGTTGTCTGTTAAATTTGACTAACATTCTTCTCTGAATCTACATGGTCAAGTAGAACCAAAGTTGACCATTCAATTCATCCTTGATGTATTTAGTTTTGCGCCCCTTGCATTATTTTAAATCCATGTTCAACGAGCTGTAAAATTGGGGTCGTGACTTGGCATTCAATTCACCTAATAATGGACACCCTGATCCAGTTATTTGAAAACGACCACAATTAAACCAGTAACAGTTTGAAATGGGCACTTTTTTGTACTCGACTGTACTGATTTTTACTCTACCATTGTGAATTGGTCTGAATTTTACATCATATTAATCGATTGTAGTCTGAACCATACTAAACAGTCTGAACTTGTACTTGACCTTTGTCTTGACCATGCATACTGAAAAGTCTGAACTCCTACTCGACCATACTGAAACAGTCCTAACACATTACAGACCTGTTTTCAATTCCTTAACAACACTCGACCAAAGGATATTAAGGTCTGAACCATACTCGACCAAATTTGAACCTTACTTGACCAATAAACATTTTCTTTATTGATCTTGAATGTATAACTATAATTTATTCAGCAATAAACTACTTATTTTTACATGGATTTTTCTTATCTAACAATTTACTTTCTAATATTTTGGTCAAATTTCTTGCCAAGGGGAACAAATCTTGTAACACATAGACTCCAAATAGAAAAAAAAATAAGAGAGATAGATTAAGAATAGATCGAGGATTATTATCTTGGTCGAGTATGGTTCAGAATTGGTTGAGTACGGTTCAGACTTGGTCAAGTTTTAATCAGATATGGTCGACTATAGTTCAGACTTGGGTCGAGTATGAATCAGACCTTAATATCCTTTGGTCGAGTGTTGTTTAGTATGGTTCAGACTAGAGTCTTGTAATATCGAGTAAAATTCAGACCAATTCAGAATGGTCAAGTAAAACTTGTTAGCTATATAAGTCTATTGTTACAGAAACTTTTGTCAGCAAAAATTAAAAGTGCCAATATTTATTCTCTTTCTTTTAAATCATGTACCTACATTGAAATTCTGTTCTTTTGGTACCTCATGATGGATTGTTTGAAACAAATTGTGAGCTATTTCAGTCTACGGTTACTTTAAACATTCAGGAACAATTAAAAAAGCCAATATTGTGTTTATTTATTTTTTTAGTGGGGGATAAGATTGCTTTCACGTAAGCTGAAGCCCTTTACCATTGACTTCTTTCCAGTACCCTTAAAGAATAAAACACAAATTGAATTTAGACGATTACCCCTTAAGTTTCGCTTGAAAATCCTCCTCGCCGCGATATAGCTTTTTTGAGCTGATGCGGCGTAAAGCAATCACCAATCAATCAATCAAAATTCTCATGTATTGATAACATATGGATAAACTCCCATGTTTATTTGCGTTTATATCACAATTCGGAAAATCAATATAAAGCAATATCTATATTTAGCATGTATGTGTGTATGAACGAAAATCCCTCCGTTATTCGAAGCACCCCTCTATAGGTGCGATTGTACGTGACGTCAACATGAAAATGCCGTACTTCGACTACAGAAGTAGCTCAGATTTCGCTGTGTTCTACTTTTAGATTGCCAGAG